AAGACTCTACAAACCATCGACACACCAGTGCTAGTTGATTGTGTAGTGGGCTTGATAAACGACTTAAGTGATGCACAAAGCGTGCTTAAGAGGCTTCGACATCTTAATAAACACACATCCATCACAACAGATGCTAATTCTTTGAAGAATATGGTGAATCACTTTGGAAGGTTCGATAATATGTGCCAAGCTGCGCTGAGAGATGTCGATCGGACAATTGTGACGATGCTGAGCCGGAAACTTGACGACGTCAAGCTGCTTAGTGATGATGTGATTCATAAGGTTTCTCGACTCAAGCTTAATAATTGATCATTGTAATGCAGCTATATAATACAATAAACTGATGTCCTCCTAATTAATTGTGATCATAACGTTGGTTGAGAGTTCAATTTACAGAAAAGGCTCACGTACGGCTCACAGGTCTGTTGGGCTATAATTTAACCCTAGACGGTCCAAGCTTGATCTTACATTAGACTGCATGTGCGCCAATAGGAAACAAATCATACATTAATATGCCTCCCATAGTGGTAGACGAAAGTTGTCAATTTGGACTTGATTTGTGAACGGAATCAAGTACGGTGATGAAATTGATAATAAACCACACTGACCAAACTCAAGGCAATCATACGTTAAAAAGTTATCATAATTGTTAAAGGAAAGACACAAAAATAAAATAAAAGGATTTTAATAGCCGTAAAGATTCTAAGCATTGTCTCATGCTAAAAAGCTACAAAACCTTGCAAGACCTTATAAAGAGGTAAGTCACTCCCTCCTTTACCGATTGGTTCTAGGGTTGGATACTTTTTAGCAAAAAAATCCCTTAGTTATAAGCCGTTAACTTGTTTTGGTAGGGGTGCTAAGTAGTAAGACATCAATTTTTGTTGATTAGTTCGCAATTAAACTCCAAAAACTTATCATTGATCCCCAACTAGAGTCTACACAATGAATCCCTTTTTTTCTTCACTAAAATCATTATAATAAGGCCAAAACCATGAAGCAAAGATCAAATTTTTAATATACAAGCGGGACAATGAGGATTCGAACTCAAAATCTCAAGTATAAAGGTGAATACGTTTAATCAACTGAGTTGCAAGTTCTTTGATGTAAAGATGATGACATTAATAAACAACTTCTCTCTTCTGCATATGACACTTTGCTGCAGTGCCGAATAATAATAATGTCTACGTACTCTGATGCAGTTTCGATATCTACCGGCCCCCCTCTCTTTAACATTTATTTGACCCACTATTGTTTGTCCAATAAAAAACAATTTCTCGTTCCTTCATTTTCTTGGAAAAAGGAACAAACTGACAAATAATACATTTTGAACATTGTAGTAGCTGACCCAAGACATCCTCTGGTGATCCTACTTCGTGTGTTATGCACGTTCTTGGACTTGAATATCTGGAAATTGTTAACAAAGACCAAAGGTCCCTTGTTTTAAAAATTAAACCGAGGAAGGGATCCTGGAAGTTTAATTAGCAAGTGGTTTAAGGTCAAAATTATAAATAAAAACACGTTAGTTTCTTTGACGTAGTTTTTTTTTTAAGTGTCTCTGACTTTAGTATTAATTAATTACAATATTTGCACGATCGACTGAGGCAGGTAACCCAAAGGGCCATCAAACCAGAATATGTTATGTGAGAATTATCAAATTCTACGTATATTTTTATGCAAATTCTACGTATATTCTCAAGTCAAATACCTGTGTACTAGTGGATTATATTTTATCTTAAGAGAAAACAAAAAAAAACAAAAAGAAGAAGAAGAAATTCAAGTTCTTGAATCTTGACCCAACAGTTGCAATGTACTGGACAGGACCATAAATATGGTTGTTGAGAATCCAGGTTAAATGAATTCATATTAGAAATTTAATAAATGGGAAAGTGAGAAAAAACATGTAAAATTTAAGACAGAGTACTAGAAGCCTAGAAGATTGCCAATTTTCTTACGCGATTGGTTGATTTTTAGCTACGAGAAACACCGAACACCACAATTGATTGGTTAAGTAATTCCAAATAATGCCTTTATAGAGCTTTAGGTTAAAGACGAATTCCAGACCTTTATTTCACACGGCAGACCCTGAATTTGATTTTTGCGCTAGTGAATCACTCAATGGTTGTCGGGGAGGTTGAAATGTTTTTGTGAGTCTTTTCAACTTCCGAAAAGATGAATTGTCGTGATAAAACCACTCGCTGATCCCTCTTTAAGAAGTGAAAAGTACTCTATATATTCTGCGAAAAAATTCCATGTCCAGGTTTACAATAGGGGCCATTTTTGTTTAGACTTGAGTTTACGAACAAGAAAAAGTTATGTGATGAGTTTTATGTTCGACATAAATCTATATGTTGTTTGATTGATAATCTATTGCATGTAATTAGGTGAGTTTTTTTTTTTTTTATATTTAATATAAGAGTTTTCTTTTTTACAAACAATATAATATTTTACACTGAATTTCTCTTAAATATGGGGAGAAGGATTTAACTTAGGTGTAGATGGGAGGGCACATTACTCTAACCAATTTGGTTGAGCCCATTTTTGTATTTATAAGATAAAACTATCGTATAACCTCAATTTTATTTGTTAACATAGTTGATTATTTAGTGTTGTAAATTTTGTTGTGAATAGTTCTTTGTGTGAACTCGATGCGGTACATGAGGAAATTGCTTCTCTCGGTCTCTCTGATGAAAGGTTTGCAAAAGAATCATTAGCCCATTGACAAGTCTGTGAGACAAATTTCGGATTCGTCGTTTTCTTTTGGGAATAGAAATACAAAGTTTTTTTCACTCTATGGTGAAATTTGAAAAGTTTCAGAACAATATTGCTGATAAAGTAAAATGTTAACTCTCGATTTGGAAATGTCTCATGCTTTCTCAAACGGATCCTTTACAATTTATCATGTCTATCTTTTAGTGTTACAATTTTTTTCCAAAAATTTTCTTGTGGCCTTTTCAAGTTCTACTAAGAAACTTTGGGTCATTGTGGTTTGTACTTTTGTATTGGTTTTCCCGTAATCAGATTTGGTTTGAGGACAAGTCTGCTCCTTTGAATTATGCCAAGGGTTGGCTAGTAGCTTGGTTTTGTGAAATCAGTTTTATTGTATTTCTCGAGTCCTAGTTCCTCAAAAAATAGTTGATTATTTAGTTAAGGTATAAAAGTTTACTCTTAGAGCTTAAACTTTAATTTGCTTCTAATTAGGTACACCAAAATTTGGCATGAAATTTAAAATTTGAAGGATTAATCCCTAAAACCTAAGTTCTAAATAGTACTTCTACACCATTAATAATTTGAGTAGAAGTGAGAGCTTCTCGAAGCTTAAAAGAACAAATGTCTCATATTGAGAAGAATTTGGAAAAAATGCATTTGAAGCTAGAGTTTCCTAACAAATTTCTACATATGTATGAGTAACTATTAACCGTTGATTAGTCTAAGATTCATGCCATTCTTAGATATATTTTACCTAACAACAGTGGAGTGTTTTGATTTGTGGGGCCAAGGCAACGCTGTACCCGTATGGTAGATATCGGTACTCATATGTTGGCATGTCGTCTAAGCCACGGCAAAATTATTCGTACTCGCTACTAAGACTCCTGATGATTAGTGAACGCGGCCTTATACTGAGTACTAATAAAAAAATTAATCATTCAATATGAACTCTTAATTTGTTATTAGCCCATAAGTGCATGCACTAGTAGCATAAAATCACTGATACATGAAGAGTTCAAATAATTTCAATTAATTTGGTGGACTGATCAGATCTCGATATAACTATACGTGCATTGACCTAAATTGATTGTCATTTCATCACATACACCCACACATGCATCGTCAACTTGTATCCATGGGAACACAAGGAAGTCAAACCACTATTATGCTTAACTAATCCCATATAAAATTAGGTTTCTCCATTAGTGAATTGATTTTTTTTTTCCTAAAAAAAATAGAAGACAAATAATGGCTCATAACTCAAGTAGTTAAGAGTAGTATTTATATACTCAAGAGTGTGTGTTCTAATTCTTCATTTCGTGGTTAATTATGTGTCATATTCCCTAATATTGCTCATAACATAAATGAACGATGCTACAAAATAACTTATCACATTTTCATTTGCTTTTGAGCTAACACTAAGATAGTGGTTGTTAGAGAGAATTAGCTTGGATATGATTACTACTATATTAAAGAAATTTTCCAAAGAAGAAACAACTTCCATATGTCTAAGTTGAAGGTAAAAAATTATTCCTACTATTCCCACAAGAATAGTAGAATTATATTAAAGAATAACTTTTTCTTCTTGAGTATCTTCAACTTAGACAAAATATTGGCATTGTCATCAATTTTTCCTTCAAAATATGTTTAAGATAATGAATTATTGTATCCAAGTCAATCCTCTTAACAAACGCCATCTAAATTTCTTATAGCATAATTACTATTCCAGCTTACACAAACAAATTGAGAAATGAAACCGGGCTTATAATTATTAAATCAAGTGGTATAAGTCGAGTGCAATGGAAAGTAAGAAGATATTGGTTTTCAAATTTAGTTTTGGATGATTACTATTTTAGCTGTACATTATTACGGTAGAAATTCATTTTTAAGTATTAAGTATTTTTTTGAAAAGGCAATATTTTAAATTATTTTTATTTATAAATAGAAAATTCGAACTCAAATTCAAGGAAGCCGCTATACTATCTTAACAAGTAATCTAACTCAAATATGCAACTACTGGGTAGTCTTTTTAATAAAGCAAAAAATCATTGGTTCGTAATTGAAGACAAAGTTAGAGATGAAATTTTAACCGCTGGGGTTTGAAGATACAGATATAAAATAATATACAGATATAGAAATGGACTAAGTAATGAATCTACACCAACAACATTTTATAATATAATATAATACCAATATCGATAGTAGTATACAAGGTTAGTTGAAGATAGGTCAGCCTTACTCTCTATAAATAGGCCTCATTTCTCAAGTCCATAACACATGCATACTATCGATTACAAAGTATTCATATATACTTTTATCCTCTAGCCACCTTATTGTTGTCCTACTTAGCCAGCTATACCAAATTTACGAAATGGCTGCTGCCAACACCCACCACCTTCACTCAGTATCAAAAATTGGGATTATAGGGGCTGGTATTAGCGGAATCGCCGCCGCTAAACAGCTTTCAGGCCACAGTCCGGTGGTTTTTGAGGCCACTGATTCCATCGGGGGTGTTTGGAAACACTGTTCTTACAATTCTACCAAACTTCAAACCCCTCGTTGCGATTTTGAGTTTTCTGACTACCCTTGGGCTGAGAGAGACAATTCATCTTTCCCTTCTCATGTAGAGGTTTTGGAGTACTTGCATGGCTATGCCACACACTTTGACCTATTTAAATATGTCAAGTTCGAGTCCAAAGTGGTGGAAATACGTTATGTTGGTGGTATTGATGACCATCAAACCACCACCCAATTTCCCATGAATTCGACCTCCGGGGAGTATGGTGGCCTTTTGAATGGCCATCTTGTTTGGGAGGTCGCTGTTCAGATGTCCAGCAATCCAAACATCATTCAGGTTGTTTTTCTTGAAGATTTGATTTTACTCAAGTTTTAGTCATAATGTTCACACATACTCCTTGATTAATTCTTTGATAACAAAGCATGACTCTTAAATATGATGATATCTGCTATCAATATGAACTTCTATATATGTATTAAGTAGTTAAGCATTAGTATTATCGGTGATCAATCTTGTACGATCATATCCAATTCATTGATCATATTATTGCTGATTACATCTCTCACATGTTTAACGTAGTATTCATTGAAATTTTTCTGGACACATAATCCACCTTTTGATAGTATATGTTACACATAAACGTGTGAACTTTTACTTATTAAGCCTTGGTAATATTCGTTAGTTACCAGCTAATTGTTCCTACTTTATTTTGGACCTAGCAGTGGTATGCATTCGAGTTCATTGTAGTTTGCATTGGAAAATATGGAGACATACCAAGAATGCCAAGTTTCCCGCGCAACAAAGGTCAAGAAGTATTTCAAGGCAAAGTCTTGCACTCCCTGGATTACTCTAAGCTTGACCAACGAGCGGCTCGTGAGCTCCTGCAAGGCAAGAAAGTTGCAGTTATTGGCTACAAGAAGTCAGCTATTGACGTGGCAGTTGAGTGCGCAGAGGCAAACCATGGTATATATAAAATAGAAAAATCTGATCCGAAATCCTAATCATATTATTAAATTCCAAAAACATTACAAAACCTAATTAACAAGAGTAATGCTATTCATACCATGTTTTTATACCACATTTCTATACCACCTTAGGTGGCATCTGATGTGGACAGCCCCATCATTTGAAAAATTTGTAAAACCCAAGGAAATGAAGGAGAAAGACTCATCGTATACCATAATCATCATTTAATTAACTACTTTTTCTTAATTATTAGTTTATTAAATAATGAACAAAATTTAAAATTTTGATTAATTCAAATGATGTGGTTGTCCATATCAAATGTCACCTAAGGTGGTATGAAAATGTAGTACAAAAACATGATATGAATAGCATTACTCAATTAACAATGATACTGGACCCCATAATTTCTTCACTTCATGGTCAACCTAGTGGGAACTGTCAGTGTGAAAAGTAACATAAGCAACATAGATTATGTACTAAACTCAGTTGACCACACGTTATCCGTTTTACCGATCGTAGCTTGCTTTCAGGCTTAAGCACCTACTTAATTAGCCTTACCCATAATGAGCATCAATTTATAGTACACCATGACTACTTCAGATAAAATAAAATCATTGTAACAATATTTGGATGCTTGATACAAATTTGCAATATTTATCGACATTTGAAAGAGAAATATTACAAAATTATAGCCAATTAGTAATTTTTTGTTTTCATACAATCAAGCAAGCTCATTCAAATATAATGCTCTAAATCATTGAAACATAACATTTTGGTTTGCTTTCTTTTTTATTGTGGTGAATTCAAGGACCCGATGGGCAGGCATGCACAATGGTGATAAGGACTCTACATTGGACAGTTCCATCTTACTGGATTTGGGGGCTTCCATTTTTCCTGTTTTTTTCGACAAGGTCTTCTCAATTCCTCCACGAAAGGCCAAACCAGAGCTTATTCCGAGCCTTGTTTTGCCTTCTTTCATCGCCTATGGTAAATTCCATATTTCTCAACACACTAATTTAACACCCTAGTACTACTCTTAATTATATATGTATTGCTAGTTATTCGTTTACTAACTATATTGCTTCTTGTTTTTTAACCAGAGGATGGTAATTTCCAAGTTCATAGAATCGTACTTGGAGTGGAAGCTTCCCCTTGTGAAGTATGGACTAAAGCCTGATCATCCATTTTTGGAGGACTATGCTTCATGCCAGATGGCTATTTTACCGGAAAATTTCTTCGCCGAGGCGGACAAGGGCAAAATATTGTTCAAAAGGTCGTCAAAGTGGTGGTTTTGGAGCGGAGGAATTGAATTTGAAGACAGTACCAAATTGCAGGCTGATGTTGTGCTTCTTGCAACTGGCTATGAGGGAAAGCAAAAGCTCCAATCCATATTGCCTGAGCCTTTCCGCAGCCTCATGGTTGACTCCTCTGGCACTATGCCCTTGTATCGGTGAACCCTAATTACTCGTCAAATATTTGACATGTTATATATTTTTTCTGCTAACATGACACATTCCATTTTATTTTAAATTGAGATTGTATTGTTATGTCGTCAAATTGTCAAATCTAATACAAACCCACTTTATTAATAGTTGAGATTGACAATACAATTTACATAATATGTCAAGTAGTATGAACAAATACTGCTTTGAGATTAAACCAAAGTTGTAGGTACCCTTATATTTTTAACTGATTACTCACAAGTGGTAGTGTGCACATATAAAATATGTAACTAATTGTATAATGATTGCACATGCTATTTCAGGGGTACGATTCATCCATTGATTCCCAACATGGCATTTGTGGGATTCATAGAGAGTGTTTCTAACCTGCACACAGCAGAGTTGAGGTGCAAATGGCTAGGAAGATTGGTTGACAACAAATTCAAGCTTCCCACTGTCCAAAAAATGCTTGAACAGATAGGCAGAGAGATTGAAGTGATGAAGAAGACGACCCGATTTTACAAGAGGCACTGCATTTCAACTTTCAGTATCAACCACAGCGACGACATTTGTGAAGAGATGGGATGGAAATCTTGGCGGAAAAGTAACTGGCATTCAGAAGCTTTTAGCCCCTATAACAGCCGAGACTACGAAGAAGAAGATTAAAACCGAAACATGCAATTTGCACTACAAAGTGGGCAAAGTTTGTTTTAAAGCGTCAATATCAGCTCCCTTTAAATTTTATTAAAGTAACTAACGCAGCTATTCGTATGTTTGGGGAGTTAGTCTCTTAAGCGCCCCATATGCTGGTTTAAGCATTTCTTTTTCATATTCATATTATTCATAATAAAGCTGTGTTTAGCTGTTTGTTCAATAAAATAATAAAATTATGCTTTTGTCATTATATTGCTATATACAAATCTCATATTGTTCAAAAAAAAAAAATTATCTCATAAATCATTGGCTCACAGAGAGCAGCTACCCATGGAAATCAAATCTTCTAAATTATGATGCAATAGCCCTGAAACTTACAAAAACTGAAGATTTAATTGAGGAAAGATTTGTAAAAGTTTCCAATATATCAAGCCAAAAAAGAGATAAAGGCATACTCCTTTCTTACTCCATTATTTTACTCTATGGCCTGCCTAATATATTTTTTTTGCAAGCCTTAATACACAAAGATGAAAAGAGACTGCAAAGAAAAAAAAAGTATTTAAAGAATTAATAACAAAAAAGAGCCAAAGATTTGATTAACAAAAACACATCAATCCTTGTCGTGCTCAGGCTAACCACTCCCCATCAACACCTTCAATTTCTCCAATGTCCATGCTACAAGAAAATGAACATAGTTAAACTTATCAAATTGCGTTTTTTAATTATACGGCCATGCAATAATATGGATTTCACTAAGTAAAAGTAACAACCAATTATTCAAAGAAGTGAAAATAATCTCTAATTTAGTCAAACTACGGGTAATGCTAGATATACTAAATTTTAAACTAAATTCGCAACTAATGTGTCGCCAATAGGAAATAACCATGTTAATCAACATTTAAGTAATAATTCAATCATCAACAACCACATCAAATGATTTATAAAGTTTAGTTTAAAATTGGATGTATTTTTACTTACCACCATAAACTATGATGTATGCTCACCATACACCTCATTATCTGACACGTGTCATTTTACTTAACCATTGTTTATATTTTTTTCAAATTGGAAAAAAAACATTTAATATTAAAGTTAATCAAAATTAGTTGGAAAGACACGTTAGATAATGAAATGTATAATGAACATATATTATCTAAAAATTTATCATCAAGCTCATTATTTACCAAATTTGAGTTTAACTCCTCTCATTTAATACTGTTAAACCATGATTCTAAGTGCCTTGAAAAATTTCGACCATTTCTCGCTTGAAAAATTTCCACCATTTCTCGCTCAAACTGAAGGCCTGAACATACTTGTACTTTCATAATTAAACTTACACAGCTCTCGACAAAGCTTTTGGTCGGAACGGAAAAAAACCTCTCAATTGATCAAGCTGACTAAAAAAATGAAAAAAAGCGAAGCTGATGAGAGACAACAAAACCTGTGGCAACAACACTTTTTCTTCGCCTCCCACGTATTTTAATGGCTAGCTCTACGAATGACAGCAACTTCGATCCACAAAAAAAAAAAAAAAAAAAAAAAAATCCAATTTACTAATTTTCAGAAAAATCCAAGATGGAACAGATTTTAATCATACAATCACTCGCTCACAATATTTTCAATTCAGAAGAAAATAAAAAATAAAAGAATTTGAGATGAAAAGATAAAAACAGTTTTCCGAGTTTGCAAAAAATCTGTTGGGTTCTTACCAAGGCAAGGCAGGATCTTGACAATAGTCGCCCGAGTAGCAATCATTCAAAATGATCATTCTGATCATTGCATCAACCAGGCTGGAAATTCCATGACTGCATCAAACGGATGGTGGTATCCATCGTCCTCATCCTTCTCTTGTGGGCCCCCACCGAGCTCCACGACCTTCAAAAACTTAAACCACCATGCTGACGTGACCAAGTTCATGGTGTCGTTCCACTCCATCTGGTGCTGCTCCCCTATCGATCTGATCTCCGCCATCTCCTCGTCGTCGATTGCTGCATGCATGCCATCTCCGCGACTGATTGCGATAACCCCGGCGGAGTCAACAGCATCAGCCACCGCAGGAGCATCCTCCGCTTCAATATGGAAAGAGGAAGAGGCTCCTGCAGCTGAGAGAATTTCAGAATCGGTAGTGGGAGCAGAGAGAGTGGCGGAAGAAGATGACGAGGGAGACCAGCCGGAGGTGGAGAAAATTGACGGGCTGTTGGTGTTGTGGTAAAGGGTTGTGTTTATGTTGTTGAAATCTTGGAAGTTGAGGTTGAGGCCAAGGGTTTGGTTTGGAAGTGTGAAATCAAAATTTTCGTAAGGTAGTGGAGGTGCAACTGTGTAATGAGTCCAAGAATATGGATTTGAATATTGACATGGGTTTGGATATTGGTATGAAAAATCAGATGAGAAAGGCGGAGTTTCCTGATAATTTGACGTGCTTGACGGGTAAATTCGAGGGTTTCTCCTCGATTCGATCCTCGCTTCTTGTTTGAAGCGAGGTCGGGATTGTGGCTCAAGTGCTTGTTGCTCCTGAGGTTGTTGATCTTGTTGTTGCTGTTGTTCACTGGCTTGTTTCATAGCTGCCCTATGAAACTTGAGAGCAGTAACAATCTCTCTCCTAGCCTCAGCCATGTTCAAAAGCCTCTCTTGGTAGGGCCTGCTGGTGTGGAGTCTCCGCCTCACTTGTTTTTTGTGTTGCTGAGGCTGGTGGGGTTTCTGGGTTTCTCCAAATTTTTGGTTGCCAAATTTGGCAGTGTTTTGGCTTGAGATACCATCACAGTCCAGTGCGACGTCCTGGTTGGGATTCATGGGCTCTTTGGTTCTTGAAGAGGTGAGTTGTTTCACTAGGCTACGGATGTAAGCACCAGAGAGATTATGAGGCTCCTCTTTGAGCTTACTGCATTTATCACTTTATCTAATTCCATTAATTGTTTGGTTTTTTTTGTTTTGATGATCGACTCAGCTGCCTAATCTCTCTCACAAATTTTAGCTGTAAATAGTGGGAAATGTAGGAGGTGGGTGGGTTGAGAGAATCATGGTGTTTTCCTAAATTCTGAATAACAAAGTACACGCTGTACAGATAAGCACAGGTTGATCTGTAGAAGTCCGGAGGTGCTCTTGGGTGTTATAAATAGCAGGGGACAGTCTAGTGTTTTTAAATTTTCTTGGATTTTTCTCTGATTTGGCAAACCTCTCATTTGTTACAGTTTTATTCAGGATAAGTTAGGTTCCATCCTCGTTTTCTATCTTTTTCTCATTAGTTAAAATCAGATATCTTTTTTTTTTTTTTCAAGGTCTTTTGAATTTTATCCTCGTCACTATTGATATATTAAATGAGTAATACATAATGCAAGAAATTTTTATTAACACTTCAAAACTTTAATTGTGTACAATAATTCCCTAATGCAAATCCAGCTAGTAGGTTAAGAGGAATTTTTTAATCTTAAGTTGTATATTCGTTTATATTTATTTTCTTAGAGTAATGCTAGGAATGCTAAATTTTTAAACCAAATGATAAGAATGTTGATAATTGAATTGTTACTTAAATATTGATTACCGTGCTTCTTATTAGTGACATTATTTTGTTTATAAATTTGGTCTCCTTACATTATCTTTTTTCTTATTTCTTGACATAATGTGAATAAAATTAGACACAAAAATATTTATAAAAAAATACAAGGCACACTCTACCACTAAATAGTCATAACAGTACAAAAGAAATCACAAATGAAGAAAACAATGAAAGCAAGAAAGGCTCGAAAGCTTGGAGAGAGAAAGAGAAATGAGAGTTCGTTATTTTCTGAAATGATTTTCCACACTTACATTGTTATCTCAACATATATATAGCTTGAGAATACTAACAGATTATCCTAACCATTCTAACTACCTTGACAGAGCAGTTATAACAGTAATAACCACAGCTGCTATGTCATCAATCTTTAACTGCAAATTTGCCATGTCATCAGTGAGCTGCCAAGTCATCAAGTCATCTGCTATAGTCAACAAATAGGTCATAATTCTTACCCTCAAGTGATATAGAATTATGTGCTAAGTGGTTTATGAATCTTACCTCAAGTGACTTGAAATGAATAAGAAAAAGATACAAATCCTACATTGGAATCATCGTATAAATTTAGAGAAATGAGAATAATAAGCTTGTTAATACTCATTAAATCAACACTAAGATAGAATCAAAATCTATTCCAAATTATTGTCAGTGGATGGAAGCCTAGCAGAACAAATTCTGATGTGAAGGCGATGGCCATATAATTTCGACCATATCGTTATGCAGCGATATTTGCCGTGCACAGCTAGGACATTGCTCAAAATATATATTGCCTACTCACTCGAAAATGTTTATTTTTCTCAAATTGATTTTCGGATATTTTGGACGATTGTCCATGAAAATGATAACAGATGGAGTTGGCATGCATGCGTGCAACACCAGGACACAAATTCACTCAATATATATGCAAGCCACAGTCCATAGACAGACACCTCCGTAACAATTGTTGTATAACGTGTGCTAGTAAATAATCCGTAGCAGAAAATAAGAAAAATGAAGAAGCAAAAGGAGAAAAGAGAACTCAAATTCAATTGAAATCATTACGTAGAGTATATACTATGTTTGGATTAGAAGTTTCAAGAAATTATAGTTTTAATTGTCAACATTGCACTCCAAAAAACAACTAGAAAGTCATTGCTAAGAAGCTAAACAAAGGACTTTCTAAATGACACCTTACAAGTTCCCTAAAAAGTATTGCATATATCCGGTTTCAGTTCTCTCCATCTTAACTTTTATAATGCATTCTTAACCAATTTGATCGAAGTTTCATACAATTTCATCTAAATACCCGTATACTGGATGATCATTGGTACTGTAATTTTTCTAGTAATTAACTCAAGACATTAAGGACACTTTAGGCATAAAACAATTGGATGTTGTTCTAGTATCTTCTCTGCAAGTAAAACGGGACCAGGTTCTAAAAACGTCAGCGGAAGCCTACTCAAGATTGACAGAAGAATCTCCACTACCGTTGTAACCTTCCTGTTATAAATTTCTGGTTTTTGGTGGAGAAAGGAAACCATCCAAATTTTCTGTTTTAAACAAGTTGTTCAACTTGGTTTGAATCTGTTTATGAAACAAAGAACTTGAACCTTTTGGCTTTTGCAAAGGCGTGTCACAGCATGTTAAAGACAGAAATTCTCCATACCTCCCTCTATCTCTCCCTCAAAACCTTCTCTTAAATTATTAGTTCTTTCTTTTCACTTGTTACTGTCCTTTTCTAATCAACTTTTTCACTGTCATTCTTTACTCTGATTGGTAGTGACAAAGACATGGCTGCTGTATCTCAAATAAGAGTTTACCAGAAGTCGTGACAGAGGGGAAAATAATTTTTCCTTATATCTTTTTTTATTTAGTTATTGGATTAAACAAAATAAAGGAGAACTAAGGATTAAATTAAGAGAGAAATGCGTAAAGTGATGAAAATGAAGTCTGACAGAAACTTAATCACATCTCAAATATCACAGTTATGTAATATATCATAATAGGCACCTGAGATATCATGATACCAATAATACATCATAGTTGAGATATCATATCTCATGCGTATGAAAATTATTCTCGACATAGATAATTTAACAAATCAACAATATATAGTAGATATAGATCTTTTCAAAATCCTACACTGACAATGTCTGCTCTAAACACTATGCTATACACTGAGAAAGTTTTTAAACTAGAAGTTATAATTGTTAAATCTACAAGGAGAGGGAAGACATCCTCATATGATATCTGTTCAAATAGTCTCTTAAATTGTTTGACTACGTCAGAATGTCTGCTAGACTATATGCATAAAGAGCAACAATGTAAACAGATGGGTGTGGCAGCGAGTTTTCATCTAAACTGAGTGAAAACCAATTGAAAGACTGAAAATATTATAAAATCAGCTAAATTTTATTTTCCTTCAATATACTTATCTTAGTTACCATGAATTTTATGATGTATAGGCCACCAAAATTCTAATGTATACCATCACGAAAAGCAGTTTTTGAGTAGTATATATGGTTCTAAATAAAATGTAATCATCCAAGTAGATCATTTGACAAGCTTCTGACTAGCTAGCAAAACTATTTCATAAAAAAAATCCCAGAAAAACTAGAATTATCCACCCACCTAAATTTATAGCTAGGGTCATTCCAAATGAAAAATATGCCACAGAGGCTAAAATTGATCTCCACATAGTGTTTTCATGATTGGAACATAGCAAATCTTGCCATAGAAATAGGAAGGGATCCGGAGATCCACTAAGTTTGAGGATCCGAACCATTGAAATTTGATTCAACGGCTAAAGTTATTATAACTTTTAAAGCAGGTCTTTGTTTGTAGCCGTTGAATCAAATTTCAATAGCGCAGATATCCGGACTTGATGAATTAGATGAAAAGATCAGGATCCAGAGAGGATCCATTTCCATAGAAATAAATATAAATAAGTTACGCAAGCACTAACATTACTGAATAAAAAAATCATTAATTCCAACAAGTGTGCTAGTTTACCATTTTTCTAAACAAAATAGAAACTTCGAATAAGTAAAACCTCTAACTTTTAACAAATATAAATCAAACTAAATATCATCTTGGAGCAAAATACTTCAGCAGATGATTAATTCACAAACAAATGAGAAGGATTTACAATAATTGTTCTGGTAAAAAAGATACGCATGATAAAGATAGATCAGCAAACTACTATCAGAAGGCAACTTAGAAGAACAACATCAGATAATTTACAAGTGTACAGGGACATGAGTGGCATAAAAAATTCGGAATAATAAAAAAATAAAATGCATAATATATAAGAAGTATGAAAGAGGGAGAGAGAGAGAGAGAGAGAGAAACAGGCCTTTCCCTCTGCGGTGTTCTGTGGATAACATCAGAGTTGAATGGGTGGATGGATGGATGCATGTGGGCTTTTGATTACTTGATGAGTTTCTCTTTTCTGATAAAATCAAAGACAAGCGGGCAGCTTCCACCAATCCCCTCGCTTAGCAGCAGGTGCAGGTGTCTTCGAGATAAAATCACAAAACAAATGGCTTTTGACGAATCACATTCACCCACCAAAACCCTAACCAACCGCCTCACACCGCTCTCTCTCTCTCTCTCTCTCAGTCTCTCACTGGGGATTCCATTCATTTCACATTTCATTCACACCGCTGTGTTTTTGAGAGAGAATAAAACTTCTTATCTCTTGAGAGTCAAATGGTAACATCAACTCTAGTTTTTATATTACCCTTTTAGGTTTTACACCAAAAAGAACTCGCACTTGTGCAATCCATTCATACTCACTAGTAGCTCAGTTTTTTTTTTGTCTGCCCTTACTGCAGTCACCGCAGCAAAGGCATTTGATTTGCAGGCACCTGCTGGTCGTGCCATTTTCTCTCTGCCCTCTCGTTATCCTATTAACAAATATATATATATAACCCCTCAAGTCTGAATTAGGGTTGTAGGCTGCAGGCTGGACTTGACTAAACAATAGTACTGCCTTGTAGTATTAAATAAGGACCTAACTCTTACCGACAATGGACCCAAATTAAAATCATTTCTAAGAGAAATCTATCCGTACATGTAATTGGGTAGAAACAGTGTAAGGTAAATGTCAGTCACAATCACCGTGCAGTGATGGAACTAGGGTTTTAATTCGGCATGGCCTAAAAGACAGTGAAAAGTTTGTGTGACCCTATCACCATCGTGCAATTTTGTGATTGTGAATTTATATCATTCAATATTACAGTTTATTGATAAGTTTTAAAAGTGTAAATTTTGATGGGTAATATTAGGTAAGTAAAAAATTAAACCAAATAATGCTCATCAATAGGTAATAAGAACTTTAATATGTTAATTTAATTATTAATAATCACATTATTTAATTTATAAAATTTATTCTCTTAACATTATCTAATTTTAATTTAAGTTCGACTTTTGTTGATAAAAATAAAAATACTAATTTATTATAGCCGTTTCACTATTTGATTTTGCCCAAATCTCCTAGACCTCAATGCAATTACATTAAAAAATTGAGACTCAAATTTATATAAGAGAATGAAATTTTTGGGTGACCGTGAGTTATACAACCCATCCACAAACTAGTTCTGCCCTTGGTCATCCACATGTGCATATATAGGCGAAATAAGAATAAGTAATTCTCAAAATCACTCACATGTAGGAGTGGACTTGATAATTGACGAACAATACTAGCAATGCTCGTATGATAATATTCTACATAAATTGCTCTTAAACAGCAATGTTGTTTCAATTTCTTGTTCAAGAAACAAAATTGTAGTTAAATCGTAGCTCAAATCGTTAAGAATTCTTACTCTTTTCTTTCTTCACTACTTTTTATCCCTTCTCCATGAAGAAAGGGTGGAACCGCGGAGGTGCACTACGCATTACGGAAAATTTTCTCAGCTTAAAAAACGGTGGGACCGCCTGTGAAGGCACTGACGGGAATGATGTGACGGATCGTAATGAAACGGCTTTCCACTACACTAACGGAGCTCACATGTGGATGCCACGTGGGTTGAGGTCCAAGGCTCCAATCAGAGCGAGGCTGCCACGTGGGAAACGACGAAGGGAACATGAAATCGGCAGGAATTGGGCCTCGGCCCACCTGGCCATAAAAAGCCTGCGCCATCCATCAATAACCTTATTTACCGTCCTGGTATTTGCCAAAACTATATAAAAAAACGAAAAGGCGTATTCTTGTTCAACCATCACGTCAACCAATTTTAGACACATATTTAAATTTGATTTGATGAAATGTCTTAGTAAATATTTTAAAACCATCGTCTAGTCCTCTAAAATATCATTATTCTGGATAATTGAAAACTCAAGAGTTCATGGTGAGATTGTGGATTTGTTGTCATGAGAAATTTTCATGGTGATAGTAATCTCTTATGCTATCACATTGTGTTCAATTGTGCATGTATCAACATTATGTTTTAATTTTATAATATTATTCTTTATTATAACACATAAATAAATAATAGCAGCTAATGGTGTAACAACTCTTAAAAGTCTTTTGCAAAATAATATATTGACTTTAAATTACTTAATTGGTGGTAAAAATCTGAATAGTTCCACGTCAACGCTATTGAAGCCAATAGAACTTGTGTAATCTCCTCTATTGCGTCCTGAAACCCCGTTCAGCACTCGTAAACACTGGGTTAGTATAAAAGTCATAATTATAACAAAAATCATGTAAATCGCGGGGAGTTTATTTGCTACCAATTTTTAAAATAGATTTTATTGGAATTATTTTTGCTTTACCATAACAAAATTATATAGGGAAGTACAAAATAATGGCCGAATGGTATTGAATGTAGTAAATTAAATAGAAAGCTGTTCATTTATTGGACTCGGTAAGCTAGATAGGGACCTCTCATGAGACGAGAGGGTGGCAGGAGCTCTGCATGCAATTGCAAGTAGCTGCTGCTGCTGCTGCTGTTGGTAGCCTCTTGAGTGACACAGTTTGCTGCAGCTCATCTCCCATTTTCAATTAACTGCAAATTGTATGGTCACTTTCCGCTATAAGTGGGGGTGGCAGTGGACCATAACATTTTTACTCTGCCGTCGTCACCTACAACCCTCACCCTCTCTCTCTTGTGTGTTCTAGAATGGTATAGAGAAGCTGCTAGCCATTTTCAGAAGAAAAAAAAGATCTAAATTCAAAGGAGCTAACTTTGGTAGTCACGGTTTCATACGACAAGTTGCAGCCAATAAAAACCAAGTAAAGCCAATCCTCCATCCTCATGTTACCTACCATACCAAGTTACCAACATACGTGTGTGTATGTGTATATTCACTCACGTATATATATGAGCTCTTTTTTTAGGATAGATCTTCTTTCATGTGACGAGTTCATTACGTGTCAATTGGTTATTAGCCAAGTAATGCTTTTTCTGAACAAGTGACCTAAGGATCATATAAACACTTGCGCTGTGGAGTTAAAGAAAAGATAAAATTACTAAATTTTGAACAGTCACTAAATAATCATAAAACGATGAATGCAAGAACATTATCTTTATCTCGTTTTCGCTTTGGTTGAGCAAAATCTCATGAGGAAACTAATCCTATATATGATAATATTTTATCTACTTGTCCACCGTCGATTATTCATCTTTATCATCATCAAAATGTTTTTTACGACAACTTGTTACCAAACAAAAACACTTTGCCACTTTTCATATAAGAGGATTGAGATGAATTTTTATGATCTATCTATCTATCTAGAAAGTCTTGTTTTTTGTTTTTCAAAGTCAATTAAATGTGGGCACATGAGATTTTGGTGACATGCATGCAAAAAGGTAACAGAAGTTGCATACAGAATTAAAATCAAACGATGGGTTGCCCTCAAGTTGGACAGTTGGTCATATTAATCTTGCAAGCAGCTTCTCTATATCATGATTCTTGCTGAATATACCAGAAGAAAGTCACAAACCATTTGAAAGCAGTCTATTACCACATGAGTATTTTTTGCCATTTGTAAGCGAATACAACTTATTTGGTCACCAACGTATTTCTTGTTGAACTTTTAAGCCTAAAAATGAAAATTAGATTAAAAATATTAGCGGAGATCGTTGGCTTGAACATTTCTAGAGTGTCCACGAATTTTACAAAGCCTATATTGGGGTAAAATATTTCACAAAAATAGGTTTGGTGATGGTTTATAGGTTTTCCCAAAATCTGTTAAAAATACAAAAATTCGAGATCACACATTTTATATGCAAAATTTATACTGTTTTTGTATTAAAAGAGTGGTACAAATGTGATATACGAGAAATATGTTACAAGTCATTTGAAATTTGATTGTTTTGAGTCTTTCCTTACTAACCCATACAGAACTCTTGCAAAAGTTTGGGTTTCTCCTAACAAGCCGACGCCAATAAAACATGAGATACTTGTGGTTGGTGGCCCAATTATGTATTCCAAAGGTAGCATAAACTTTACATCACAACCTATAAGCTATTGGGCTGATAAAAAATGTGTGCCCTCTTGGAGCTAACAACATGAATTCACAGAAGCCATGGCAGCTCAATCTTCAAAGCACTCATTTAGCGAAAGCGTCTTAAGACTCTCAGCAATAGCATCTGCTGGAGTATACGAGTAACGTGCTTGCCACTTGGGTTCCTGATCAGGCCGAAATTAAAAAAGAGAGGAGATGCATATTTCTTAACTTCTTATGATAATGCAGATTATGTAATGCCGGAAGCCTGAAACGACTGTTGCTTAATAGCTTGCAGCGATATGGACATGAACTCCCTACAAGATAAGGGGTTCACATTAGGATATGGATTTCTTGATCTGTTTTCCCGGGCTCTTTGCTTGTTTTTGGGGTGTGGTAAGCAGCTCAATGATCACAATTGATTCACCATAAACATGACGTAGATTTGAGGAAAGAAAAGGTCTAGTTCCGCCAATACATTCCACACGAGGCTTTAACGTCTCTTCAATACTATCTGTCTCATCAATTGCGTCTAAATTGAACTTCACCTAAAAATGCAAACAATAGTTAAGCCAACAAATGCTATTGTTTCATTTATTGCATGATGATTCAGAATAGTGGGACATCATGCGTACCAGTAGCGTGTGTTTGACATTGTATGAGCTCTTACAAAAATCACGGTTTTCAGAAGGGAACGATTTCTGCCAAGCCAACAAGATACCTCATTTAGAAGGGACGGCAACTGATCGACAAATTTAGTCACCGAACTTAGAGTTTTCTGATTGTCTGGTAGTATAGCTCCAGCCTGCATTTTATCAATAATTTTATGATGCTTGCGTAAATTCGTTACAGAAAAAACGATATTATTTCTTCTTTTGAAGCTGTATTACTATTGTTACGCCATATATAGCATCTGAACTTGAGAAAAGTTGCATGACTGTGCCAGAGCTACTGTTTGAAGACTGCGAATGCTAACCTTGGTCTTATATAAGTGATTTTTTAGTGTGCTTGAGACACGGTTTGGTACATCATATGTTACTATGCAAACGGTGTGATACTTGTGTTATTAACAACTTAAAAATAAACTTCCCTCCACTTATATAATAACACTTAGTGTATCACTCGTGTTCTAGACAGAATGAAAATTTTCTGTTTTATGCAAGGGTATGGCTACAATGCCTATATCTTTTTTGCAGGAATTAGATTTTAATGTACAAACCTCACTTTTTGTTTTCTAGCATATTCAATGCTCCGTTGCATTTTTTCTATATAAACGGTTTGCCACTTTGCCTATAAAATATTAATCCTAGTCTATTACTTAAGCAGATGTACCTTGACAGAAGCGAACACTTCATTATCTTACCTGACGTCAGATAAATCGTATTAGAATATTGCGAGTATTACCAGCAGAATACGACAGCGCAGCTTCCATTCAGTTTACCCGACTTGGCTGACCAAAAATAATAAATAAATAAATTGATTGACTTGGAAATTGGAATCATCGTATAAGCTGGATCAGAAGAGAGACAATTCCACAAACCATCTGCATTTCTTGTTCATCATTTCCTTTTCCACTGTCAATCAATTTCTGAGGCTGAAAAAATGGCTGACGGAATCATTTCCATGCTACTGGATCGGCTGCCTTCCTCTGCAAAACACCACTGCAAGAGCTTACCATCTACAAATGTTCGACGCTTTCAGTGCGCTGCGAACATCCCAAACGTCAACATCTCATCCTGGTAATTGAGCTCTATCTTATTACACATTTATAGATGTATCAATTACAAATGCTATCATCATATTTGTATAATTTGCGTCTTTTCTTCTTCAGAATTCAGACGATCTTCAAAGGACATGAGCAATGTGGATCAAGTGGTGACTCGCGAGCTAGGCGTATAGATTAATCTTCTTTGGAAAGGTAATTCTCTTCTTTTATATATATCAAATTAGTAATATAACTTTTCACGCACATCTTCTTGATTTATGACACGCTTTTGATAATTATTCATCTGTACATGCCAAATTCAATAGTAAATCTCCACAGTGCATGGATTCGCTAATCTTAGTTGCTCAATTTTCGCACAACATACGAGAGACTAAGCGGATCTAAGCTCTCTATGAACCATGGCCTTGTCTAAAGGTCTCTTTGCATACGAGACCGTGAAAATTTTCGAAATGGACACTCAAAACTCACAAGACCAAGTATTTCAAGGGAAATATAGCATCCAAGTCTTCATTTTCAAGCAAAAAACTCCACAAAATAGTCCCAACCGACGCACTTAAAACAGTATTCGTTGTCTGCACGCTTTTCGCTATTCTAGAAGCACTTAAAACAGGTTCATACCACTTAATCTGATTCCGCCAAAGTTAAGAACTCAAATACCATGTGATTATAATACATTTATTTTCTAGGAGATAAACATAAACACGATCAGAATCGGTATTGCAATGTGCTTCGTCATAATCTTGAAAGTCTGTTTCCCAAATGAAAATGCCATTACAGTAAAAGAAACCACACTCATAGACATGCTTAATGTAACGAACCGAATAAGAATTTATGAATGAAGCTGCAAATTTGACAAATTGTTGAAGATGTAAACATTAAACATACATATATTCACCACCACGAATCGCATTCGCAGCCCCTTTTCTGTCTTCTTCGGCCTCCTTCTCCCTCTCCTTCCAACTCTCGTACGCATGATCATCCGTCTGCAGCTCATGCCGGCATATCGGACAAGAATTGTGCTCATCCTGCCACAATCAATACCACCCAATAACCCCAGTCGGTGAGTCACTCTAAAATCGAATTGAACGCAACCAATGAGACACATTAACAATATAGCAAATGTTCAGAAATTCGAGTTACCAGCCATGGCTTTAGGCAAGGAGGGTGGAAAGTGTGCTTGCAGGGCAACTCCTGCATCTTGTCATTGACAACCAAGTTCTCCTTACAAATGCAGCAGTCCGCGTCCTCTCCGAGCTTCTTCAACACTTCCTCCGTGATCGTGACTACCGGAAGACTGGCCACCACCTGTTTGCTCGCAGGCGGGACCCTTGGAGCCGCCCTCACGTCATCCAAAACCCCCGGCGGCAAAACGCTTGTCGAGGTTGTCGATGAGTGACTGAAGCAGATTCACCGCGCTTTCCGAGTTCTCTTCGTTTCCGGGACCCGACTCAGAAGACGACCCCGCCGCCATGGCCGCCGTCAATAGATTCGACTGCACCAGCCACTGCGGTTGCGGCGGCTCCCGATCCACCGTCAAATGCCCCTCAAACAAATATCCTAAAAAACCAATAATTCAATTCCAATAGGAGAAAATAAAATTTGGGTTTTTGTGAATTTCCACCAAAATTCAAACAAATTTCCCAAATAATTACATAAATTTTGGGTTTCTGTAATTTTCCGAAAAGGGAAGATCTTTCATACCTTGATTTGGAGAAGACGACGGCTGCGGGGGGTCGTTTTCCTGATGAACGACCTGTCGTGCCTCATCGATGCAAGCGAGCAAGTGGGCCTTCTCGGAGGGGTCGGAGACGAGGGAATGGGCGAGCTGAAAGAGGGCGAGTCCGGCGGCCCAGAAACCCAGCGAGGTGTACCGGGTCTTCAACACGGTGGCGACTCTGCAAACGACGCCGTAGAACAGTTTCCGGAGGGACGGAGAGGCGGAGGAGTAGTGGTCGCGGAGCAGCGAATTCAGGGCGGCGACGGCGTCTTCGAATTTCTGCTTCCTCGAAACGTCCTTGTGCAGCTCCTCCAATCGCTGCTCCAAATTCTTTTCGTCTTTGAACTTGAACTCCATTTTTCGGATTCGGGTTGAATCGATTTGTATCGGTTTTTTTTCTTTCTGCGTTTTTGGGTTTCGGATTAGTTATATTTCTGGAGTTTGGCTTGGCGAGGAGGTCACCGTTGGGAGACGAAGGTGGGAACGGATCCTCTGCGCGCCGTCTCATATGTTACCTGTTTTGCCACTGTCTATCCACGTCACCGAGTTCCCACGCCTTCTCCTTAATTCACGAACGACACCAGTATTAACGTCGTTTGTTTTACACGTGGTTGCTTGCCTGAGTTGCCTGGTGGGTTGGATAAGGAGTTGGGTTGGGTTCATCTAATCTCATGTTTGACACTCAAAAATTAATATGAAGCAAAAGATTACCAAAAGGTTGGGTTAGGCAGCAAGACGTATGTAGTTTAGGTGGTTAAGAGTATGACACCTATTTACATTAGACAGATTTGGTTGCTTTTGTTTAATCTATAAATAAAAAAAATTAGGATACTTAATCTCATTATTATAATTTGCTCGAAGCATACCAATGATCGTGGACCCAAGATCGGAACCTAGGACATCGACGTTAGTGAGGTAGACTTTTCCTTCTTAATCCATTCTTATGAGCTAATACATTCCTACTTGCTTAATCAAATCCAGTCCTAGTAGCCAAATATAACCCTTATCACACAAGAAAAACACACATTATTTAAAGAAGTCCGCATACTTGCCCCACCCACCATGTTGATATCCGTCATCTAAATTGAATAAAATCAAAGAAAAATTAAGAAACGACGTGCGAAAGTAGAAAAGGGTGAGCATAATCATTTCCCTTATTTAACAAAGAGAGAAAATCCACCGGAACATGAAGAGTTACAGAGCCAATATACATTGTTCTACCTCAGCAATCTAAATTAATTTCCATTGTAAAACAAAATCAAAGCCAATTTTCCATTTGGCTTTAAACAATGCAAATACAGAAAATACAATGCAAGACAAATGCTAAAACAATAAGAAGCAAAAATAAATAAATCCAATAACACAATTTGCATATCACACAGAAGCCTCGATCCTTGGCTCAAATGAGAAGGCAGACAGGAACTTGATGGATTCACCATCCACAAAACATTTGGGCAATTCAATCCAATCATTGGCAGCCAAATCACACAGAACACAGCTTGAAATCTCGGCAGAGCTTAAGCAGATCAGTATCTGGTTACCGGCACCAACACAGTTTATGTCCACGCTCTTGCCGTACCACTCGTGTGACATCGCCGGAGGCATTGCTGCGATTTGTTGCCACGATCGAGCTTCCTCATCGTAGCACCACACCCTGAGGTTCGTGCTTTCAAAGAATTCTGAGAGAAGAACCACCAGCATTCTGCCTCCGCATTCTACCAAGTCGATGGAGTACTCGAAGAAGACGGGGAGTAGCCTGGGGTACTCGGAGAAGCACTTGGTGGTCAGGTTGCAGGCCACAACTGAGCCTGATGAACTGAGGAAATAGACTGTCTCCTCGCCCTTTTTGGAAGTGATTACGGATGAGTATTGCTTGGATGGGCTTCTTTGCATGTTGGTTGCCACTACATTTCCAGCCCTGCTAAGGAAGTAAACAGCACTGTCATCGGTTGAGTCGGATTCTGTAGAATCATCATCCTCGAAGTTTTTACGCAATGCAGTCTCTTCTTCCCAACAGGCAGTGCATGAGTTATACACTCGGAAGGACAAATTTGGAAGCTCGCCAAAGACAACAAGAAGCTTGTAAGATGATTGATCATACTTGGGACTTGAGCTCATCACAATGGCATGGAATGTGAGATTTTGTAAGGATGGATCCAGCGGAGGGTGTTCGTTGCAAACCCCTGTCACAGGGTTGGATACAATGAAGTTGCCCTGTGAATTGCGGAAACAGATCAAGCCACCAGAAGCTGAAACAGGCATGGAATTGCAGTTGGATTTTGTCTGGAGGAGAGGCGGATGATTGAGTTTCTTCCAGCTTCTTTCAGCGGAGTCAAAGAAAATAGACCGGTTAAGAAGGGGATCGACCATGAAAAACCAAGGATCCCGAGAAGGAATCTGAGAGCAGGCAAGCTTGAAACTGGGAGAAGATGCAACTGATTTCCATCTTTTGCATACCGAAGTAAGGCGGAAGAATGCAGATGTTGGTAGCCTCGAAAGCACCCTTTCAAGAAGGTCTTCGTTAACCTCATCCATATAAAATGTGTTTGAAAAGCCATCATCTTGTTCTTGGGATTTTCTCTTCCGATTCATCTTAAAAGCTGGGGAATTGTTGTGCTCCACCAACTAGAAAATAGTAATAAGACAACTGTAGTAACAAAAAAGGGAAGGAAGCGTTACTTGTGAATTTATATCAAAGCTCGGAACAAATACATGAGGAATGTGATGGGAATCTAGCGATCAAATACTCATCAAAAGACGCCTGTACTTCAAACATCTACGAAAATGTTGTTCTTAACTGTTTTAGGACTCGTTTGGGACTAATTTTGAAGGAAGCAGTCTAACAAGTACTTCTGCTAGAAGGTTTATAAACATGTCGGAATTTTTATCAAAAGTTCTGAAGAAGGTGTTTCTACGGACCAAAAGCACTTTTGGTTTTTAGAAACCACTTTTAGCCATCCCAGCCCCTATCCCTCCGTTTCTATTTCCTATCTGCTGGTTATGTTGTTGATCAAACAATTCGTATGGCAACGAAGAAGTTGAAAAACAATCCAATCCATCGAGTAAAGATTCTGACTTTCTTTCGACATTATAAGCAAAAGTGCGAGGATAGAAATCACAGTACAGTCGAAAGCACTGACAAATAAGCATTGAGAAAAAGGTATGAACTGAGATTGTTGAAGCTAAAAAAGGATTGAAATTTGAAACCACCCATAAGAAAATGCATACTTTGGGACTTAAAAAAACCAGAATTTGGAAACGTAAAGTCAAAATTTTCAGAACCAAAGGATGAAATTGGACCGTTGGTATGTCCAGAAGCAACAGATCTCGCCACAAAGTCATAATATTTGCCCAAATCACAGTAGAAGAATGGTTGGACTTGGAGTTAGTAGAAACAACGTTGTACCCATCAATCAAAATGTCACATTTAGACAGATTAACAGCAAAAATCCAATAAAATTGAGGCAGAAAAATGAACAAGAAGAAGACAAAAGAGAAGATGAACAGAGAAAGAAAATGCACCTTCCCCTGCTGCGGCTGCTTCAGCGGCGGTGCTGCTGCTTCAAAGGTGGTGCTGCCGTGAGTTCCGAACGGAAGACAGTGAGAGCGATGGAGTGAGGTTGGTGGGTCTTCGTCCTCGTCTTTAAATTGGGCAGTGTTTGGGAGAAAAGAGAAAAGGAAAGAAAGGAAGGAGAAAAAGAGCTATGGAGGAAGGAAGGTGGGAAGGTTCGTGGGAAGCTCCTTTTGTAGGGGTTGACGACCACAAACACACGAGGGGTTGGTTGGTGGTTAGTTTTTCTTTCCCTTCAACCCAACATGTATTAAGGGATAGAGTAAATACACAGTGAGAAAGTAGAGAGAGTAGTCGACTCGGGCTCTCACAGCTCTTGGCTTTGGATTCCCGAGCCCCAAACAAAAATAGCTGCACTTGAGAGTAGATTTAGTATTGACCACAAAACAAGGGAAAAGCATCCGAGGGTCCTTTTCCTGGGAATTCGGTAGATTTTGTGATCATATTCGTTCATCGTACATTGTACGGTCAGAAATTATTTGAAATTTAAAATTATATATAAATAATACCTAACAAAAACTGACCGCATAATGTACGATAAACGAACATGATCACAGAATCCCCCACGAAAAGGATCTGGCAAGGATCATTTTCCCAAAACAAGCATACCTATGCCTAAGGATTATATGAAGATATTCCAAGTAAATCACGAGGTACACGTAGCAGTTTTTAATTAGTCTGATAACTTGAGATATAAGCACAATGACATTTTAGGTATATATAATGTATAACAATGCGTGATTGACTTAAAATATAAGTAACTCTTTATGGTGACAAGAAACATATCAATGTATGATTTCTTTATTAACAGTCAAAAATATTATTTTGATGGTGTCCCCATGTCAATCAAGCATTGGAATTAACAGTCAAAAATATTACATAGGGGGTTGACTGAAGTATTTATGTTGTAGTATGGAGTGAAATTCAGATGTTGACTTGAGAATAGGCTAAATTTATGTTCTGGATTTTTCCATAACATGCTTTTTTAACACCAAAATTATTTATCTTTCTACGTCCTTGATATATGCAAAGCAATACTGAATACACTTTAAATTGGTCGTCTGTTTTTTTAATATTTTAAACACAAAAGAAAGAAAAAGAGCATCCAAGCATGGTTGCAAAGAAAGGCAAAACGACACGGTTGGGAAATACAATATATGCCAAGAATAATATTACGACATTGGCAAAGGCTCAAACTGCTTAAAGAGTTTGGCTTTGTCATTTTTCTGCTGCTGCTGCTGGAAGCTGACTTTTGCAGTTTGCAAAAGCAAAAGCAGAAACTTGAGTGGTGCTTTTGGCTTCTGCATTTGCCTCGTTGAGGAATCTTGCTGCTCGTGAGCCTTCAAAGTCAATGGCCAGACCACATTCTTCGAGTCCCAGAAGCAAGCATTTTTCCAAACTAGAAATCAAGGAATAAAAGACAAAGCGAGCGAGAGAGAGAGAGAGAGAGAGAAAGCCGCTGATTACGTTCTATTTTTCACTTTTTTATCCCTCTCTCTCTCTCTCTCTCTCCAAAATTCCTCCGAAGTCCAAGGCCTTCGAGGCCGGCTGCCATGCAGAGATCTCGATGCAGTCACTTCACCCAGCTCGGGTCTCCAAGTTGGCTTTGTTCTTTCACTGTTTTGGTAATTCAAGTCGGCATCTTTTTCCCCGTCTGCTAGAAGGGATTATAAAATCTGAATGAACTTATTTAATATTCTAAAGATACGAACTTATCGCATGTTTGCGAGATTGTTTTAAACGGACAGAGATTCTAGCTAGATCTTTTCATCAAATCTTAAATTTCAAAAATCCGGATGCT